TCTGTCTGTCTGTCTCTGTCTGTATCTCTCTCTCTCTGTCTGTCTCTGTCTGTCTGTCTCTCTCTGTCTGTCTGTCTGTCTGTCTGTCTGTCTCTGTCTTTATCTCACCGTCCCCCGTCTGTTTCAAATTGAGTAGAAAACTGTCCTGATCATAAATGTTTTATTTTTTCTTACTTCAAACCAGAGTCACGTGAATCCGTTTGTCGTTGTTGATCAGAGTTTTCAAATTTAATATATTTCAGAATAAAATTTTAAAAAGTCTGAGAACATTTCTGAGAAAACCTTTTTCTTTAAGTCAACAAGAGACAAACCCGTTCATGTGACGACTCAGACCAAGTGTTCATTTGCATCTGCACGGCTCATGTAGTGTCGTTGTCTTCAGTCTTCTTCCTTCACGTGATGAGTTCAGGACTTGAATTAGATTCTAATCAGCTGGTTGTTGTTTTAGTTCATTAAATATCATTAACTTCAATTAATTAGATTTAACTACTAACTACAAGTGTCGCCACAATTAATGTTAATTTCATCCATAAACTGTAAATAAAGACGACGCGTCTCCACAAAACTGAAGCTTAAATACCTCAGACACGAACGCTGCCCTCTTGTGGTGATGACATCATTTGCAGAGTCGGTGCAGTAGAAGTCCCGCCCATACACACACCCGACCAATCACAAGTCATGTTTATTTGACCTGTAGTTTTTTAGTTTTTTTTAATTTGGTCCACGTCACAACATGGAGGAGGCAGGGTTCATGACCTATACTGCAGCCAGCCACCAGGGGGCGATCCAGATGATTACACTGTCATGATGTTGATCTTTATTTACAGTCTGTGTGTTTCATTAACGTTCAAATACACATTAACTAGTTTTACACTTGAATTCAGTCTGAGCTCACGATCCAAACGATCGGTGATACGGACTGGAGCGTCTCCTCTCGTGTTTGTAAAATATTTTATATATCTGTATATTTTATATTATACTTATTTATATTATTCATTGACGCTGTCGTTCTGGTTTGAGCTGAATGTTTGAGAGATCGACACAAATACGAGGGAAGTGTCAGTGTCACAGCTGAAAGTACAGTCGTATTTTATTGACATTATTTATTAAAGGTTGGATCGGTGATTATCCAACATTTGTTTTCCTCCGGTTCATCCAGACAGTAAATTCCCTTCATGTCGATTTCAGCCTCAAAACTTCCTGAATCACATTTTCAATTATTTACAACAAATTGTGTGTGTGTGTGTGTGTGTGTGTGTGTGTGTGTGTGTGTGTGTGTGTGTGTTTTCAGTTGGAGGGGAAGGTGCAGCAGGGAGAGAGAGACTTTGAACAAATCTCCAAAACCATCCGTAAAGAAGTCAGCAGGTTTGAGGTGAGGAAAATAAAGAGGGATGAATGAATGAATTCCAATTCATGGATCGATGTATTTGACGTATTTATTGAAAATGAATCGTGTCTCTTTGACTTTTTTTTACACAGAAAGAGCGAGTGAAGGATTTTAAAACAATCATAATCAAATATCTGGAGTCTCTGGTTCAGACACAACAACAGGTAAAGAAGATTCAGACTATTCAAGTGAAAAACACCAAAATGGCAGAATTATTATTTTAATGTTTGCAAAGGATGGACAGTAACTTTAACCGAATTATAATTTTTTATATTTAATTTCACTTTTATGATGGTGGTGCTCAGACAATCATTCGTCATTTTAACTACACGTTTTCAATAGTGAAACCTTTGGTCTAAATTCATGAACGATTTAATCGTGGCAGCCACGTACCTTCATACCTTCATACCTTCATACCTTCATCATGGAACTTTAATGTTTAATGTTTCAAAATGTTTAACAAATTAACGTGGAGTGAACTTTCTTTTCTTTTTCCGGTGCAGCTGATAAAATACTGGGAGGCCTTCTTACCCGAGGCCAAAGCCATCTCATAGAGTCACGTGACCGGATCGGGTCAAACTACACTACCCATAATGCACCTGTCCTCCTGGGCCTCCCTCCTCCTGAAGAAGAGGCAGCTCAAAGTGACATTTCAAACAAAACAGACAAAACTCTTTGATTTCCTCTTTCATTGGTCTTCTTGTTTCCTGTGCCGCGCTCAGGTCCCGTCAGTTCAAAACTCAAATATTAATATATTAATATCTCACTCACGGTTTCATTCTTCATGACGTCAGTAAGAGAAAGTAGATTTTCATCAGAAAACTACAATTAAGTTACTGCGCCGGCTTCGTCACACGCAGATTCTTATATGACGTCACTTCCTGCCTCATTTCTTCGCTTTTTTAACCGAGAATGTGAACAGAACTTTACTGCAGGACCCTGAACGCCTCACGCAGCTCCACCACTGCAGTCAGCTGTTTTCACATAAACAACGTTTCCAACTTTATCAGAACTTTAAACCTGAAAACAAACGTCACGTCTCAATATCTTTATTTTGGCGTTTGGAACTCGATCTGTGAAACTGATGTGAGTCGGTGATGAAGGACGACAGACCTCATCCTCTCTTATTTTGTGTCTCTTACTTCCTGTCACCGGTCCCCCTTGCTTCCTGTCGCGCCTTTCAAAACAAGAGCCTTTGTTTGTGTTGCTGTATGATCGTGAGTGAAGGCAACATTCTGCGTCTGATCCTTTTTGTCGACTTGTGATGTTGTTCAGTGAAATGAAGGATTTCCTCTTGACGGAGGCTGAAGTGGTTTCAGGTTTGAGTGAGTGTGTGTGTGTGTGTGTGTGTGTGTGTCCGTGTGTGTCCGTCCAGAGATCAGAGTGTGAAGACTCCCCCTGATTTTTATTTTTGTTGAATTCAGAGTTCGTTTCATTTCAACAGATTATAGGTGATTTTTAAAACTGGAAATATTTATGATTTTCTTTCTCCTTCACTGCTCCTGAATCTGAAATCATGTAGCAGTGCTGATTCTACCTTTTCTATTTCATTCTCCTTTATTTCACATCACTTGCTTCCTGATGGTGTGCAAAGTTTTTACTGATTGTTTTTTGTTTATTTTGAAAATGATGAAATGCTAAATCTTCGGTTTGGCGTGACGTTTCCGTGGCAGAGCAGATGTTTGAGTACTTTAATTATAATAAAGGAATGTATCTCATCCACGGCTGGAGTGGCTTTCATTATTTAAAAAACGAAGAGTTTATTAATGTTGTCATTATTACCTCAATAATATAATGTATACAACTGTTTTACACTTGGAGGCGAACAACTATTAGTACATTTTATTCTTTTATTCAACATGGCATCACCAGGAGGACGTGAAGACGTTTCCATGTGGTTCTCTGTTCATGTGAAAATGTTCCCTTGAGAACCGTCAGTTAACGATAAGGATAGAACCTCAAGTGTTTACAACAAATGATCTCATTGGTCATATGAACACAAAGTAGAATACAGATAATAAATAATATGTCTGTTTTATTTCGTTTCCTCACAGAAACATAAGAACGTCACGAAAACATTCTCGGAGTATTACAGGAGTAATAAATGTAAAGTTATTCTGTTGAAGAACTGCTGTTATTATGTTATACGTGTTTGAATTGACTACAAATACAATATAATAACCCAAATAACTTATTTTCCTGTTTACATGAGCAGTTATTGTTCCATCTTAGGTATAGGTCAAAGTTACACATATACTGTATGTTTATATCTATATATCTATATATATATATTATACATATTATAAATAAGAGTGTGATGTCATGTTCGTTTGGTTTTCTATATTTTTTATAAAAGAAATCTGGTGCCTGCTTTGAGGGCGGAACTATGAAATTGCGCTCCACTTCCTGTGGGACACATTTGAGCGACGCTCCGGGTCAGAACAGAGCCGGATGTAGCTGCGGAGCTAAAAGTTTGATTCTTCATGAATCTGTTAAAATGTTAAAATGTTTGATGGATGATTTTGTTCCCGCGGCTCAGGCTGGAGTTTCTGTCGCAGTTAACCAGGTGAGTTTACCAGTTTAGTCAACTTGTACTTATTTAGTAATAGTTTGACGGAGCTAATGTAGCTTAGCCTGCTAGCTTGGTTCAGTAGCGCTGGAGCTCATCCTGTTGTTTCTCTCATCAGTCTCCACCGGTTCAATGGACATCGATGGAATAAACAACGACCCGTTCGTCTGCTTCACATTGAGCTTCACGTCTCTGGAGTCACCGGTGAACCTGCAGCGGTGAGTCCACCACTACTCAGCGGCGAGGAGAGCGTGATGGCCGGTTAGAGCCTCTGCACATCACCGGGGGGAGAACCGGAGGGGGAGGAGAACCGGAGGGGGAGGAGAACCGGAGGAGAACCGGAGGGGGAGAACCGGGGGAGCAGAACCGGAGGGGGAGCAGAACCGGTGGAGACGCAGAGTCCGAGATCACAACATGTAGAGACCCTGGTCCAAATATCTGAACACACTTTAGAAAGACAGGAAGTTGTTCAACTTGTAGAAACGATGTTGAACTGATCTTCTACATTTGATTGTCTGGAGCTTTAGTGCAGCTCGATCTGTGTTCACATGTAAAACACTGGAGAGAACGAGTGAAACAAATGAACCTGGAGTTATATTTGCAGCAGCGTCTGAAGATCTGCAGGATCCAGTGAAACCAGAAGTCTGAGCACTCGGACTCTTCACCTCGTGTCAATGAGGCTTCAGGTTCCAGCGGATCATTGTGTTAAATGTGATAGTGATTAAAAATGAGGTCAGAACTCAGTGAAAATGTCAGAAGTCAGATCGTTATTCTGAGTAAAGAAGGTTTTTCTCAGCGTCAGATCATGGACAGACTGAAGGTGTCTAAGGGGGCGGTGCATGGAACGCTGAAACGCGTCGCAGAAACCGGGTCGGTCTTGTCCAAAGCTCGATCCGGCCGACCTAAAGTGACCACGCCCTCCGAGGATCAATACATCAAACTCAGCTCCCTGACCAACAGGAAGACGACTTCCTCTCAGATACTGAACTCGTTGAATAAAGAACGTGAGACGCCGATCAGTAAGAGCACAGTGAAGAGAAGGTTGCACTGCTGCGCCCTCGGAGGACGAGTCTCTAAAGCGCCCGTCAGGAGGGGACATGAGTCCAGACGTCTGGAGTGGGCGAGGAAATACCAACATCTCACAGTGGACGACTGGAAAAAAGTCCTGTTCACTGACGAGACCAAGTTCGAGGTGCACAACGAGCCGACAGTGACACACGCTGGAGGAGATATTCATGTGTGGGGTTGTTTTTCTCACTCTGGGGTCGGAGCCCTGCACAGAATCGACTACACCGTGACCAAAGAGAATTACCACTTCATTCTCCAGAGACATGCCGTCCCCTCTGGTCTCCAGCTGTGCGGAGAAGGATTCACGCTGCAGCAGGACACTGACCCCAAACTCTGCTCGAAACTCTGCACGAACTTCCTGAAGAGCGAAGAGGAGCAGGGCGTCCTGACGCTCATGAACCTTCCTCCGCAGTCACCTGACCTCAACCCCATCCAGCAGTTATGGGGACACTTGAAGACTGAGAAAGACAAACATTACGTGACGTCACAGGAGGCTCTTTGGTTCATAGTCAAATCGAGCTGGGACAACGTGGATCACAAGGTTTTACACAAACTCGTGGAGTCGATGCCCGCTCGGGTTCACGCTGTCGTTAAAGCAAAAGGAGGACGAACCAAATACTCGTGACTTCTGAAACTCACGGGAAAGTTTACAAAGATTCAAACTGTTGAACTGATGATATATTTTTTTAAAAAATAAAATAGTTTTACTTTTGAAACTGTCCTCACTCTAGTGTTTCTGACACTCGATAGCAGGGTTCACATTTCAGCTGCCGCGGTGACGCCGAGTCCGTCGGCGTCTTCAGAGAAAGTTGCTGTGATTGTTTTGTGACAACAGATCATTTTATAGATGAGATATGTTTTGTCCCTGAATGATCCTTTAAAAAACAAACAGAAATATTCATTTATGTCCTTTATGTTTATTTGATTGGCTCCTGCTCCTCTAAAGGATAAAGGATATTTATTTGACATTGTAAATCGAGAGGCTCTGTCCAGTGACATTCACCAAACTAACACAGTTTTAGTAGAAGAAATTAATAACGAGGCTGAAAATCTTCTACAGGACGCGAATGTTTCATGGTTCAAAATGTTTTGAACAAACGTCCTCGCTGAGACATTGTTTTTTGAAAATGTAGCTTTACATTTGCAGTCATTAGTTTTTCCAGTAGCTTCTACAAATATTACATTTTTCCCTGAGGCCTCGAAAGAAAACTGAGTTTCTCACATGTTGACGTTCACATGTTCTGAGTATGTCACTAACTCCTCCTCACTGAACCTGTAACTCAACCTAACAGTGATAATAATGGAGACACCAACTCTCGCCTGAATGTTCCCACATGTTCCTGTTGTTACTTTTTCTTGCTTCCGGTTTTACGTCTAAAAACAGATTCCGTCAGAGTTCGAGGCAGCAGCTGCTGGTTTTATTTCTCTTTAGTCGATGTAAAGATTTTTGTCTGTTTCTACATTAAAAACCTGGTGAAAAGGCCAAATGTTCAAAATAATGTTCTTTAAATAAAAACACTGTTAAAGTTCATATCAGGAAAATGTCTTGATATCAGGTCATTAAAAATGTCATTCGATTTCCATTACTCGTACATTAGTGTTAACATTTGCTTGAGATTGACTTTAATTAGGAAGTCATTAAAATGTAACCCCCCCCCCTGGTGGTAGCAGTCAGTTGGTATCTTGACGGAAACAGCCTCTGCACTTGGTTCATCCTCCGCTGCAGTCTCATATTAAACAGCTCTCACGCTGCCCGTGGTCTGCTCCTCTCAGAGTGAGAATAATGTAGGTAAACCTGCGTCCTTAACCTCCGACTATCACTTTAGCTGAAGAGTAATGGTGCATCCGTTTTTTCCAGCTTCACCTCCACCTCTAAAATTTTAGCTCTGACTCCAGAATAATGCGTCTGCATCTGTTTTCCTCGCTCGCGCTCACCTCTCGCTCTCACATGACTCCAGAATAATGTAGATGTATTTATTTTTACACGCGCCGCCTCGACCCCTGCCACTATCAGCCCGGCTTTAGAATAATGCAGTCGCGTCTGTTCCGCTCAGCCTCCTAACCCCTCAATTTCCCCGCCACTTGAGGATAATGTAGATGCATCTATTATCTCCGCTCACACCAGCGCTGTTGTCTTCGACCTGGTTTTAGAATAATGTCACTGAATCTACACCCCCCCCCCCCCCCATCACGTTATCGCTGTGCGGTTGGGGAAATAAATAAAGTGCAGCGTCTCTGCTTAGAGCCTCAAACTCGTGCTGAGGTATTTATTATTTCAGCTCATCAATTACAACAAATCACCAGGTTTCCGTAGCGTCTCCGTCGGCCGCGTTAACTTTCTCCTCCTTTTCTCCGGAGACACAAACACAGAGGAGGTGCGGGGGGATGAAACAAAAGGCAGATAACAGTGTTGTTGCAGTGTAACCCCCGGCTTTTATTTATCATATCTCCAAATGGCGATGTAGCTGTTGTGCTGTGGTCAGGATACAGTGACCTTAGTTGATCAACTACCCCCCTCAGCCGCCTGATAAGAGGGCTAATATAACAGCAAGCGAGGGGGGAAGCAGTACTGTAATTATTTTTGCGCTGTCGGGGGGGTGGTGGTGCCGGCCCCCCTGCCGATTCAAATCTGAGGGGAAACTAAAAAGAGGAGGAGGACGGGCCGCAGCGACAACGACGACGCCACTGAGACAAATATCTGCGAGTCGCTGCGACGCGCCTGAAATTGGAGCAGTTTGTCATGCACGGAGCTGCCAACACACACACACTCATCTGAGAGGCTCCATCCAAACATCTGCTGGGTCAAATTAAACACACTATACCTTCCAATGTGGGTATAAATACTCACAGATACTTGTATGAGACGCAGAGAACCTCTGAAATACCAGTTCTTTCCTCTTGACTCATGATCGACAGGACAATCTCTGCTTCTCTTTGTCTTATTGTCTTTATTTTAATTAGAAGACAAACTGAATGTGTCTTCTAACGTGAAGTCCCTCAGTCCCACCCCGTCCTTCTGTCACAGCTCAACGTCACCTGACGAGAATCCAAAACTATGAATTATTTAAACTATAATATTTGATAA